AATGCCGCTCGACATCCAACTCTTTTTGGGCCAAGGTGAAGAGGAGGTTCTTTAGTGCTGCAGAAAGGACACCACACTCCTTGGATCATTTCCGTGGAAAACGTTTGAACCTGGAAGCGCTCACAAATGCTGAGTTGAAAGCGGCGGCCATGGAAGCGGGCGTTCCACTTGATACACTGCTCCCACCACAGTTTTACGAAGCGCAGATGCAGAACGATAACGACGACGATAATGCCGATGACCTGGAGGTAAGTGTTTTTCTGCCTCTCTTTCATGTGGTACTAACACAGGAGAAGATTGGGAGCATATACCCTGCTTTGTCTGTCCCGCATTCAGTGTATGGTATGAATGTACGGCGCGGTGCGCATCGAATGCTAACGCACCAGCGGCTCGGTGCCATGGCAGCGCTCCTAACGAGATTTGCAATTGGAGTTTCTCTGGACCACAAAGGACCTATACTACAGGCCACTGTCGGCGACGTCAAAAATCCTAGCGAAGACTCTGCTTTGAACAATAAACGTGGCTTGAGCACTGGCGCGGACGTCTCAGTTGAAGGTGAACATGACACTGAAAGCTCTACGACATCGAGCAGCGACGATATAAATGTCAAATATGATTCGATGGTCGCGAGCAAGGAAAAGCATGCTCTTTTTGTGCGCTCGTCCTTGGCATGGACATTCTTCATTGTGTTCTGGTTGGTGAGTTTCGCTGCGATATCGCCCCTAACATCATATATATATATATCGAGCGATCTGACAAACGCCTTAGGTTGGCTCTGCAATATTTAGTCTGACAGAAGGCTGGCCGTATGGCTTGTCTGTATATTTTTGTAAGTTCATGCCCTCGGAATATCTGATCTTGACTTGCAACGTGATGTTCAGGTTTTATTGCATTCACAACGATTGGGTATGGTGATCCCGCGCCCAGGACGCCTGCAGGGCGATCTGTGTTTGTCGTATGGGCCCTACTCGGCGTTGCCACAGTGACCGTATTGATTTCTGGTGCGTACTTATTCTTTCTTGACAACTCTTTACTAACATTTACCTTGATATTTAATCCCCACTAATTGCATACAAATTCTGATGCTCACATCTATATTCCAATGTCTCAATGTGATATTTGATCACAGTCGCCTCCGAGACCTACTCCAAGCGCTATAAGGCGATGCTCCAATGCGACTCTTTCGAGCGAGCCGTCACGACGTACCGCACTCGCACAAAAAATATGTATATGACGAGGACCCAGTCCCTGTCTGAACCCCAGCCTCCGAGTCAAGCCCAAAGCCCAACCCAGATTGAGACTCAATCTTTGACCCCAGCCTCTCCAAACGTGCGGTTCCAACCCCACGTTTCTTCCTCGGGTCTCCGACCCCGCACAACTTTTGTTGAGCAGGACGATGGCGGTGAGGGAAGCCAGCAACCACAAGACACAGAAATAAATGCACCGGATCCCAATTTACGTGCGCAGGACTTGCTTGAAACACTCCCGCAGCGCGTCTTAAACGAGGCGCGTTCATTCCAGGAGTACATGCGCTATCTGGGGAACAGTAGCAGTGGTACGAACGCGTACGTGAATGAGCAGCTGAAGGCGCTCCTGGATGATGTGGTTGGTGCGGATAATATGAAGGCGGGCATAAAAATGGATATTTTGAGGGATAAGGATACCAGGCGAGTAAGTTGGCCTTCGCTTACGATGCGTTGCAAAGTTGTCAAATTGACTTTTGAACCTTTCAGACGCTCATCACGTTAAGCATCGAGAGTGAGCCCCGAATTTTCTTTGGTCGTCTAATGGTCATCAATTGACTATTGGGTGCAGAATCATTGATGGAGCTCATGACCATTGGGGAGGAGGCGATTGCAGGGATGAACGAGCGTGACCGTGTTGCTGCGGCCTTGGGCCAGCGGCAGGAAGACGCTGATACTGATGTTAGGGACCGGATAACAGCAAGCGGTGTCGGAGGCACCAACGTCGATGATGCCCTCTCATAGGTACGCTTTACCCAAGCTGGGGCGGTCGTCGCAAGTAACAAACTTAGAAGACTCAGGTGCGCACAACACACCTTGAGGATGAAAGGTCAGGACCTTTTATATCCAATCCTCAGTGTAAGGCGGCTAGAGTTCGAAGGGGAATGTGAGCAAGATGGGTTAGATATGAGACGAGAGAAACGAGAGTGTTAGTTAGGACGAATCGATGTGCGAAGGAGACTCTTCTTGATGCGTTAGGACATTCTTTGCGTGGGCCGGGAACTCTCAGTATCGAATTCTTTTGTATCAATGTACATGAATCGTCTATATACGTGTTCGAGGGTGAGACTAGGCCAGAACGAGAGAGAAAGCATGTGGTGAAGTCGAAGATATCGGTCGCGAAAACGGGTATCGTGTAATGAGAGCACAAGGTAAGTTTAATGAAAGAAATGGAAAGCGGCATGGCTCGGATACGAAGAGTGATGCATGATGCGGGGAGTCATGTGGACAACTTCGAGTGCCTAGTCGTAGTCCGTGCGTACTACGAGGATGTTCAATCCTTACATCAGCTGAATACTCACTACAATCATCATGCAATGTTTTATCCATTCAGGGCGAATGTCTGCAGTCTGGGGGCAAAAAGACGGCCAGGTGGCGGATTTTCGAATAACCTAGGTACATATTAATCATATCACTCCTTATTGCAAGTACGTACGGTCAGTGTACGCTCATTTCGTACGGCATAATCATGTAAATAGTTGCAAGCTGTTGGATAGAGTGTCGAAGGACGTTGCAAGTTCCTGCCCAGCTAGTAGTGCTAGTGAACATTCAACAGGGGAATACCATGACACACATTTTCAATGTCCGACATATACAAATTGGGCAAGCCAGGTTGCCCAGCGAATCAACATGGTCTTCGTTTACCACTCGGGTCATCGTCTCGGACATGGCGGCCCTGTGATGCTTATCGTGTAACTCAGATGATAGGAACGCCAAGCTGCATATGTAGAAGAGAAGGTAGAGGGCAGATAATCACTTGCGATACGGTGTGTTGTCACTGAACTGCCACTTCATCACAAAATGTATTTTGAACTGAACTTGACGAGATCTGCGCTCTCCTTTGGTGCGCCACAAAATCGATTGTCGATTCTCTTATTAGGTATCAATCGCGTGTGCATATGGAGGGTATTTCAACTTAGCGCTCTGGTGAGCACATCAACTGCGGTACTTGACAAATAACAATTTGCTTTCTCATCCGATGTCGTCCGGTGGCACATCACCAGCCAGCAGTGCTCAGTTCCCCTTCCCACGGAAGACGCATTGTGTCGACTAATGACATACATATCACTCCTGAGCTCCTTCGAAACGACGTTCAAAGATTACTGCGCTAATCATCTACTGTTTGAACATACTATCTTTCACGGCTGCAGCCATGAGGACTCTTATTTTAACCTTCGCTTCTTCAGGGAGGTCATTAATGCTGGATCATCTCGCATTTGGGGTATATAACCCTTGAGAGTTGCCTCATCTAGATATCGTCTTTTACACCCAAACCTCCAGTCGTAAGGGACATGCACTTTGTGAACATTCTAATCATTGTCACCTTCCTCATGGGCATGGTCAGGGCGGGTCAGTAATCTTTCGATATTTGTTGGACTCAATGTTTCAATATAATAGCCAGCGACAAAGGCCCGATCAGTGTCGAGGAGCCAACAATGGTCTTTGAAATATTTAGTCAGTCCACAAAGCATCATCTTGCGGATTGGGTCTGATCCATTTCATCCAGGATACTACCCAGACAAAGCTATAGCAGCTGTGGCAGGCGGGTCGTACTTCATTGCCAGCCTTTGCCTGTTCGTGCGTTTATTCATGAACAAGGCATGGTGGGGACTTTGTCTCCCTGTGGCCTCAACCTGTAAGTTCTCACCACCCACCTCGAAATGCGTGTTGATTGTTAAAGCAGTCATGTCCATTGGCTTTTTTATGCGCATACTCATGGCGATAAACCCAAATTCTCTCCCGATTTTCATGGTCCAACAACTCCTCACCTTGTTACCGCCTGCTGCATACCTTGCCTTCAATTACATCCTTTACGGGCGTTTCGTCGCGAACTGCATTGACAGATGCTCCTCTTGGATAAAGCCAGAAAAAGTTGCCCGGTACTTCGTTATCAGCGATATCACGACATTCTTCATACAAGTTTGAAGTTTGATTATTTGTCTTGTTTACACGGAAGATTAATCACGACGTTGTGCAGGGTGTAGGTGGTGGCCTGGAAGTGTCGACAAAAATGACAAACGAGAAACTGGGCGCGAACATACTTCTCTCCGGATTAGTCATTCAGACACTCTCATTTACGTTCTTCATGATCCTATGTGCGCATATATGGCGTGGTGTCCTCCAAGATGGTTTTCTGCTCCGTCGGGAGCCATGGGGGCCAATTCTTTGGATATTGATGTTTTCTTCAACAGCCTACATGGTGCGCCTTTCACCCACCTTTATCGTCCGTCTTTACTGATGTTGCACGATACAGATTCGCAGTATCTATCGTGTCATCGAGATTGCTCAAGGTAACGGCGGTTATCTCGTCACCCATGAAAGTAAGTATTGGGGGATACTAAAATTTGGGCGCTTGGTATGACTCTTGCCTGACAAGTCTACTTCTACCTCCTCGACTCCCTGCCACTGTTGATTGGCCTTTGCACATACATCATCTACTGGCCAACGGAGTATCTCGAAGCGTCGTCCAGGCTCACCAATGAAATGACGGAACGGCGTTGAAGCTTTGTCATCGCCATGCTTATTTCAAGAATTCACTAGGGTGCGTGAACCGTGATACTCACAGTGGAGGGACCTGTGTATGTTAATAATCCACTGTGATCCAGCATTTGCAATATTCTGTGAGTCAGTTCCTTGACTGCGCAATGTCCTTCGTTCTACTTACTATCTTTGGCCTGGCGCAGCAGCCTCGACACTTGTCCTCTACCCTCACTGCCTGGTGCATAGGTGCTTCTTATGTAGAGAATGATGGTGCTAATTTGATTTTAAAACCGTCCTCAAATTGTTGCGGCATTGAAAAAACACTGGCGGATGTGACACTGAGCCATACCAGTCACGGTGGGCCTCGAGATGTTTGGTGATGAATTCGTGTAACTTACTACTCAGCGGCCGAACTCAGAAGTGTAGCTCTCATTATTAGTAGCTTAGTCAGCATGTATGTCGTCTGTTCTTTGTGCATCATCAAATGCCACACGATCCTAGTTTGCTCGTTGCATTAATATTTCTGGGTATGACGCCACCCGGTCCTGTTCTTCCGGGTTCCAGGTACTTCGAAGCGCCGATATCATGCCACATGTCACATGGCATTGGCCGTTAGGATGATGTTTCACCAAACCGGATCCGATTTAAGAATACTCCAAGGACAACTAGTAGAACCCAGTTGGTTACCCTCACGACGCGTACATCCAAGCAGACATTCAGGTCAATCGTTGCTCACACAATGCAATCCGAATTTGTGGAAAAGAAACAGGGAGAGTCCCGCTCCAGTTCTGTGGCACCGGATTTGGCCTCTGATAAGCCTGTGGGCAATGATCTGGAGGGCGGTCAGTATTATACAGGGTTTCTCAGACGTGCCACCCAGTTACTTTCTCGGTATGGAATTGAAACTCATGGGTGAGTGAGATGGTGTCGTTATGATATCTCCAATGTCTAACTTGAAAGCATTTCTACCTGTCACTCGGATCAGCATCGCCCCGGTACCAGCAGAGGAACGCATAGAGACTCGATGGTACCAAATGTTTTTCGTATGGTTTTCTGCTAATATGAATATCTTAACGTGCGTTTTGAGTCCTTTATCGTCTATCGATTTTCTTGCTATCTGCTAAGTCACTTGACATCTACAGATTCAGCACTGGCACTGTGGGACCTGCATTGTTTTCCCTGGGAGTTAATGATTCTATCATCATCATTGTCGTTGTTGACCTGGTGTAAGTGTCAATAGTCTTTATGAATATCAATTCGCTATGAACTATAACTAGGATATGTCTGTTGCCTGCGTTCTCGTGAGCTTGACTATTATTATCTGGACGTTCCTCGGGACTGATGAATGTATAGTGCTGTTTTTGGGCCAAAGCTTGGCACGCGAACTATAGTACAGGCAAGGTTCTCATGGGGGTGAGTTGTTTTTCCGATTGCCAGTATCATTCACTGACGGATATCAAGGTATTTCGGTGCCATCATACCGGCCGTCTTAAATGTTTTCTCCCTGCAAGGCTTCCTTATCTTGAACTGCATCATTGGTGGACAAGTGCTCGCAAGCCTATCTTCTCACCTTGATGATACTCTTGGTATCGTTATTATTGCTGTCATATCTCTTGTGGTACGTCAAATTTGTTGGTGTCGCATCAAAATGTCGAGCTTCACAGGTCACTTTCTGTGGATACCGCATCATTCATTGGTGGGATCACTTAACCATGTACTATCCGTATAATTTTGATACAATTTTGATTCTAGGTACGAAAGTATCGCCTGGATCCCAAATGTGATTGCTTTTATCGCCATGCTGGGTGTCGGTTATCCACAACTACGCGACAACCAATCGACTGCTGTCTCTCAAGCAACTGTCGCTGAGGTTATCTCTTTTTCGTCTATCCTCACATCTAGCATTATTAGCTGGTGTACCGTGACCCCCGACTATGGTGTATACCACAGCCCTGCTGCTTCTTCGTGAGCTCCCTCAGATCACTCACGGGCTCTCGTTAACATCCTTATAGTGCGAGACTTTTTCTCTACACATATCTCGCGTTTTTCACCTCTAGTGTAAGCCCCTATGTACTGTTACCAGTGTCATCGTAACATCTTGAAAAGGTGACTTGCCACACCCTCGGTGCTGCGTTCGCGGCCGCAGCTCCCAACGTACCTGTTTGGAATGCAGGATTTAACAACAGCTCTTCCGTCGGTGGCTTGTTTTACAGTGTGCTGCTACCTACAGGCGCATTTGGAAAAATTCTGATCGCTCTGGTGGCCCTCAGTATTCCTAGCGCGTCTGCACCGACCATGTATACGTTCAGCACCAGTTTCATGGCTGTCGCTCCGTGGTTTGCTGCAATACCTAGATGGATATATATTCTCATCTCTGAAGCAGTGTAAGTATCTTCAGCGTCGTGAAGTTCTGTGATACTCATTATTTGTGTTGAAGTCTGATACCAGTCGCCATTATTGGCGCCAAAAAGTTTTATACCACTTTCGTTGACATCCTCAGTACGAGTCCCAAATATCTGTGACTATGGCTAAAATGCTGACTCCTCAGATGTCATCGGATACTGGTCGTCAGTATTTACTGCGATTATCCTTACAGAACATGTGCTATTTCGGCGAGCCTCGTTTTCTGAGGATCAATATCCTATCACGACTTGGGCTTCATATACTCTTTTGCCTAGCGGTATTCCCGCGGTCGTGGCCTTCGCGTGCGGCTGTGGAGCCCTTGTTCCATTCATGTCGCAGGCTTGGTATGTAGGACCAGTGGCCAGGCATGGTAGTGGAGATGTTGGGGTATACGTAGGGTTTGTGGTGGGGGCTATCACATACACATTGGCAAGGGGTTTCGAAAAACTGTGGTACAAAAAGATGAGTAAATCAGATGCTTAGTAGTTTTTGTTTTTAAGGTAAACAGTATGCGTGTACATGAACTGTTCTGTGGGAGCCGATGCTGTCGTTATTATCCATAATTCACTCTTACTACAGTTGCGGACAAACAAACTCGACAATTTTGGTCTTCGATTTTTGGGCACTCTCCATTGAATCAAATTAAGTATTTAAGCCTACATATATAGTATTTGGGACATGATAAAGTGATTTGCACGAGCCAATTTCCTCTCCATGGGGTCCGAAAGTTTTTCACCCTCAAAATTTGGCCAACCCCTAAAATGGATAGAAAAATACCGAAAAATGCGGAAAACGTTCCTTAGCACATTAGCATTGTGATCATGATGTCTGAATCCAAAATTGGTTAGTGTGTTGTGAAGGAAAAAAATGAGCACGACCAGCGGTTGAAATTTGAGTTAGTGCCTACAGCCACCAATCCACCTGCCAAAATGTGTTGTGGACGCCCACTCAAGTCCACTCGATGAAGGAATATCAAAGGCCTTCAGAACCAGCTTCATGTGGCTGCACAACAGCAGCATGTCTCCTCATCATCTGAGTCAGATGATGTGTCTGAGTCTGAGTCTCCATCAAAAAAAATAAGGCTGTCTCACCCTTCAAGTCATTCGCGTTCCCCCAGCCCTGCGAGTGTCAGCAGTCATACTGGACACAATACTCACACCTGGCACCCCCCGATCATATTTGACAGCCTGAAGATGGTCAACAACTGTGATGAAAGTCAATCAGACATTGAATCGGATGCAGAGGAGATTCCAGACACTTATCTAAATGACAGTGGCCTCTGTTCACGGCTCATTGACCTTGCAGTGTCAATTGATGACAACCCACACGACGAGACATGGCTGTCTCTAAAGGAAGCTAAGTGGGTGGCTCAACGAGTGCCACGTCCAAAATTTTACAAGAGGGGTCCAGATGTTGGCAGCAAGTCAGCACGAACACAACGACAATATAAAGAACTCCTTCAAAATCAACAATCACTCACCAGTCTCAGATTCACAGTCCTTACAACACCATCCACATCCAAATCGGCTCCACCTGCACAGACTGCACCATCATCCGAGTCACCCAATAATGACAGTTCTGTTAGTGACTCGGACTCCGAAGATGCAGGACATACTACTGTGCCTGCATTAGAACTTAGCATGGGTCTTGCCAGCAACTTCAATGCAGAGGAGATGTGGGAAGACGAGCTGCAGGAGTAGGAACAGGGTGGAGTTGAAGTGCGAGGTTGGTATGAGCTGAGAGAGCAGATCAAGAAAGATCTTCAACAAAAGGGCAAGATACACTTATCGTTCTCTCGGATAAACCAATTGTTGCTGATTCGAAACTTTGTAACACTTCAGCTAAAAGGAATGGGCCGGATTGCAGCAAGTCTCGAAATTGCCCATCAGTGGCATGAAGGTCAAGGAGCACACTTTGCACAAAAGATACGGGCACTTGCACGACACTACCAAGTTTTCGAACAGCTTCCAGCTGAAAGATGTGGTGGGCAAGAAAATGCATTAAGCCCTCTCAAAGATGAGAGGCTTCAGCTCACTTGTCGTCAGTGGCTAATGTCACAACCAATTGGTGACATTACTCCTCGCAAATTCCAACATGGTCTTAACACCACCATTATTCCATCATTAAACATCTCACTTGCACGGCCACTTTGCGAATGAACAGCAAGACAATGGTTAATCAAACTGGGGTGGCAGCGTACAATTTTATGAAAAGGGGTCTATATGGATGGTCACGAGCGTGAGGATGTGAAAAAGTATCGACAGGATGTATTCTTACCTGCAATGGCTGCTTTCGAGTCTCGCATGGCGCATTATGAAGGCCCAGAGTTGCACCGTGTTGAACCAAGCTTGGCACCTGGAGAAGCGGAGGTGGTTGCAGTCTGGAATGATGAGTGCTGCTTTCATGCAAATGATTACAAAATGCAAGCTTAGTGAGTGATGTTGCCTGTAATTCAGTTTGTTGCATGACAAAGTGAAAAACAGTTTGCTGCCTGGTCAACAGATTCTTCAATGAAAGGGGAAAGGAAGGATCATTCATATGTCTGGGTTTATTGATGCGATTGATGGTCGACTCGCACTGCGTAACGAACAGGGTGAAGTCATTGAAGAAGCACAAAAAATCATTTACCCTGGTGCGAACAGTTCAGATGATTGGTGGGACACTGCACAGTTGCTTGCACAAATGAAGGATGCGATCCGTATATTTGAGGCTGCACATCCAGGCCGTGTAGCACTCTTCATTTTCGACCAATCCTCAGCTCATGCATCTCTTCCCGAAGATGCATTACATGCATTCAACATGAATAAATCTAATGGGGGCAAGCAGCGACATCAACATGATACAATCATTCCACAGTCTAACCCAGTTGCTGAGTATCGCGGGAAACCTCAAAAAATGACATTACCAGACAGCTGTCCTAAAGGCCTGCAACAAGTTCTTGAAGAACGGGGATTTGATGTCCAAAAAATGCGAGCAAAGTGCGCACCTGTCTGCTCATGGGAAAGCACCAATTGCTGTATGGCTTGTCTTCTCAGTCAGCAAGAAGACTTTGCAAATCAATTATCAATGCTCGAAACACTCATCAAGAAAGCTAGACATGAGTGCATTTTTCTCCCGAAGTTTCACTGCGAGCTCAATCCAATTGAGATGGTAGGCTAGTTCAAGCTGTTTATGTCAGTCTCTGCTTACACTGACACAATTTCATGTTAGTATTGGGGCTGGTGCAAATACCGCTATTGCGAAGTGCCAAAGAAGACTTTGGATGATGTGAAACGTTGTGTGCAAGAGCAACTTGACACATGTCCAGCTGATGTAATCCGGCGGTTTATCAATCATTCATGGCGCTTTATGAGTGCTTATCGGTTGGGTCTCACAGGAAAGGCCGCAGAGTGGGCAGTTCAGAAGCAAAGGCAACATAGGCAAGTCTCGCAGCGTGCCATGATGTCGATTGAGGCGGTACTGGGCAGTGTGTAGCGGTAAATAGATGCTGTTGAAAATAGCCAAAAATTTGGCCAACCCAAAAACACGTGGGAAAATTATGTCGAGACCAGTTTCAGACGCATTTTCACTCCCTGAAGCCATTCCCGCTGTCAGATTTGTGCCAAAAAATGTTCTGGGGTCAGGAACGAAATTGTCGAGTTTGTTTGTCCACAACTGTATCTACAACAGGTTATACTTCATTGTCACGGACTATTGATGCTTTGATAGGTTATCCATAACGGTTCCCACGATGGATAATATGCCAGAAACCTCAATATGGCGATATTCTACTCGTTCTGGAGCTGTCCATGATGGATAATGGGTCGGCCAATACTATTTGGTGCGTTCCTATCCTTTCTGGGCTGCCACATCACCCCCTTGTTTCAGCTTCGAATCTCTCCCATCTTCTCACCGCTTCTCCATATCCGGATCTGATCGATCTGATCATCCATCAAAGGACCGACATGAGTGCAGCCTGGAGCCTCAGGATCATGAATAATGCCCTGGTTTCTGCACCACATCCTTCTATTGGTCCCCGCAGTGCCTCTGGTTCTCGCGTAATGCCCCGCTATATTTCCGATTTGGTTCTCATGAATGCAGGTGCCCGCGCGACTACTAGTATCAACCCTTTCCTGAGCCCTCATGTCAGTACATAACAGGAGTCAACCTCCCTGCCACCTCACATATTATTGACACGGTGCAAAACATTGTAAGTGCATATTTCTATAGGCTCCTGCGCCTGAGCAGCACACGGTGATATTTTACTCATTTAGATAACTTTGGTGTTTGAACCTGATCCGAACGTGAACTGGACCTCTCGAACCATTGGCTCTGTTCGGTCCAACGGCCTTGTAAGTGCATATTTGATAGGCTCCTGCACCTGAGCAACACATGGTGACATCTTAATCATTTAGATAATTTGGGTGTTTGAATCTGGTCCGAACATGAACTGAACCCCTCGAACTGTTGGCTCTGTTCGGTCAAATGGCCTTGTAAGTGCATATTTTATAGGCTCCTGCACCTGAGCAGCACCCAGTGACATCTTACTCATTTAGATAACTTTAGAGTTTGAACCTGGTCCGAACGTGAACTGGACCCCTCGAACCATCAGCTCTGTTCAGTATCTCCAGCTCTTGTTCTTTTTGTAGTTTATTGCTACTATTTTCTTACATCTGTTGGAACGGGCATGGACTGCAAGGGAACCAAGGCCAGACCTCTATGGTGGGAGGCTACAGCTCTGTCTATCGAGGACAGACTACGACACATGCGAGGACTACCGACTACGAGCCAGGACTCCTGCCACCATGCCAGGACCCTCGCCACTCCCTTCCTGTCCTCCCAGAGCGCCCCGCTCCACTGTGCAGTTCCGATTTGTTTCACTCTACCTCGAAAATCAACTTAGGTGACGTGTCCCAATGAAATTACCAAATAAGGAAATCGTGGTTGAAATCATGCTAAGTCCCATACCATGAGGCGCCGGCGTGATCAAAATTTTCTACTAAGAACTTCAGTGCGATATATTTTCTCCAATTCCTCTCAATATAGGGTGCACAAGATCATAGTGTATTCAGTGGCTCAATATATACACATACAAGTGCCCATCAAATACGATGAACATGCAAGATTGTCAAGATGAGTATTCTACTACAATTTTCGTCTTTTTGAAGAGGGGCATGCTGAGTCTCCTGTAACTGTAGTAGCCTTGTGTTTCCCTTTGATCTCTCCGATGTTGTTTGCCTGTGCAAGGCGTGTGGTAGCTTGTCTAACATGCCCCGTCTTTCTCGGTGCACTGACGGTGCCGAATGTGTGTTTATCCACGGCTGGAGGAGGTCCATTGGCTCATTTCAGAGGCTTGTCCACAATCAGTGCAGTGGTTGTAGTGGCAGCTTGAGTTGGTGTTGGTAAGTGCAAGCTGGGTGCACTGACGATGACCTGCACCAAACCGGTTCGGTGCATGGACGACCAATACTCTCTCATGAGTCAAATACCCTGAAATACCACTATGAAACCCTTTTCCCTTTTATCTGAAGTTGGACTGAGGCTAAGGGAATATTTTTTGCTTTTCTTTTTATTTTTTTAAGTTTATATGCCAGCAGCCTGAATATTTTAGTACATTTAATTCTGCGATGAGTTTTGCTTAGTCAGCCATGGTGATGACCCAGACAAAAATCCCACACATGTCAGGTGACTGTGAAAAATATTTCCCACATATGTTGTCCTGGAAAAACATTAGTAAACCCCTAAATACTAGGCTTCGCGTCATTCTCACCCTTCAAACAAAGCAAAGCAAAGACAGCCACGCACAGGATTCATATCATGTGACACTTCTCACTCTCCTTCTGGATTTGTCATCAGGGGTTGGACAGGTCACATGACTTAGCAAATACCCAATGACTCACTATGACTCCCTCTGAATATATGACTCACTATGACTCACCTTGCACATATGACTCATTATGACTCTTGATGACTCTTGAATACACTAGTAGCACAGCCACATTTATTGTGTATATAATGACCTCAGTTTTTGAAATAATAGCAAGCAGATACCAGCAGGTAGTAGGGTGTTTCTCAGCCCAACTAACACTAAGTTGTGAGTAAGGTGTGATAAGTGTCAGTACCAGTGTCAAGAACTGTTTCAAGACTGAGAGGAACACTCTCAAGAGACAGTAATACTGCAAGCTCATCATACTGAACAACCCGCTGTGAGCTCACTGTGTGCAACAACCAGCAAGCAAGGTACAGCCACACTTTTATTCTGATTTCTGTTATTCTTTTTCTTTTCTTTTACTTTCACCAACCTTTGGTGGTCTCTGTCCAGAAATATATTTCCAAAATGTTCGTGTTGTCTCTACGTCCACCTAAGACTCAGTAGTAGCATAGTGGGGAGACTTTAGGAATTGATAGTGAAGCTTGACCTCACTCATCTGAGTAGTGATACTGAGCCAAGATATTCTGTGCCTGCTAGGCTTTAGCTGTTGAAGAGGGGACTTGGTAGTAAACCCAAGGACGTCCGTTCCTGAGTCTGTTTGAATACTCAAAGAAGAGTTCCTTGACAGCAGGTTCAATATTGAGCTAAGAGTTCTACAATAAAGCATCTGATTAGTCTTGACCTTTGATTCTACCTGTTTTGTGCTGAGGGGGTTTATCATTGAAATTCTACACCATTCCTTTTGGAGTATAGTTGGTACGAAGCACTGTTGTTGAAAGGGAACTTGAGGAAGAATCCCGTATATTCTTTTGGTCATTGCCATACTGTCGGGCTGACCATTGTTTGTTTGTTTTCCTGTCAAAGTCCATAGATTGGATTGACCATCATATTACTGATCTTGCAGAAGTATCCTTAGCTGAACATACCTTGGGTAGTATACAACTAGCCACCCACGAACGACCACGTTATCAGTCATTGGTATTTGTCTGAATCGCTGACTGTGGAGATATTTGTTTTATAGGTGTTTATCTATAGATCATCTATCTAAGAAGACAACGATATTGGCGCAAGATGTGCGCTCATCTATGGTCGGTGCGGGTGTGGGTGTGGGATGCTCATCAAAAGAAAGGTGAGGGTTTGCAGCTGAACCAGACAATACCGTGTTACAACCAGGTTCAACTTGGAGTACAGGAGGATGAGAGTCTGGAAAAACATAGCTTGGCCCAAAGATGTCAGATGAGTTGGAGATGGGGGAATCATCAAGCCTGTCATGGTGAATGTGGAAACGAGGTGGTGAGAAGCAGAGTGGAGATGGTATCTGCTGATTCCAGACTTCGTGATTCGATGAGATGGCCTGGAAGGTTGACAGGGTGGACTATAAGACAATGAAAAAGAAGGAAATGACATCTCTGCGGTGTTGTGGGATGAGGTAGCATCAGGATGTGCAGGGAGCAGTACTTCCATAGGGAGGCCCGTAAGCTGAGTCTCATCGAGAAAAGACTCTGTGTTTGATCTATCAAAGGTCCAAAGATCATCAGATAGAAAATCTACATCTGGTTGAACGTGCGCAGGTCCCGCCAATGCTTGATCTAACAAGGCTGCACTATGCGGCATGACAGGAAGAGAAGTGCTACTTGGAGAAGCTGCACCCATGAGGTCCATTGTAAATGGAATGATGGCAGCAGTCGAGTCTGGAGTAGTATCCCTTGTAGGACTTGGAGCCTGAGGCACGTAATTGAGCGCGTGTGTCTTCCTAACATGTTCTGCTGCAAGTTGAATCAAGCAATGATTATACAGTATACAGAAAAGTTGAATAATAGCTCATGGAAAATGGTACCGACAAACTCCAAGTAAGGATTGAGGAGGCCATGTTGTCTAGTGCTGCCGAAGTCTGGTTTGGTCAGGTTCGTCACCTCATATTTGTGAACCCCGAACTCGACCAGTGGTCAGGTTCAGGCAAGATGGCTGAACCTTGAACCAGACGCCTTTGAACACATTCACAAGAGTTCGGTCCAGGTTCAGAACAGGTTCGAACCCTCAAACCATTGTTTCAATTACTAGAAAATGACAACATTGTACTGTACAAATAGCTACCAAATTTACTCATTGTGCACAACGACATGGTTATCATAAGGAGGTGAAGATGCGGCCTGGACAGTTGCAGAGATATGGCCTTGATGGTATGCACTTTTGAGTAACTGAAGAGCTTCGAACGTTGCTGGTTGCAAACAGCTACGACATGCCGTGCCGGTAATGCCGCCACTTGAAAATGCGCGCTCGGATGCAACAGCCGAACCTTGAATAGCGAGGTAGTCCTTGGCAATGCAAGAAATGGTTGGGTACTGGATAGAAATGTGCTGGAAAATATTAGTATGCAAGTAACAACAATTAAACAATGATACATACCCCCCACCAGCCCACTACGTTGTCAACGTCCTCGAGTGGTGCATCTAGGTAGTCCTCAAGCTCTTGACGAGGCTTTCGTGTGGCTGCGTCATTGATGACATGTGTTTTGACGGAGCTGCACATCCAACTATGGCCGTATGAGCCTTGGTGAGCAAGTGCAGGTGGCTCAGTGACAGGCGGCTCTGCAGGAGCCTGCGAGGAATGATATCTATCAGACTATGTATGTAATGTTAGTATACAATTGACAATGAGTGATGATGAGGGACATACAACTCTCTCGAGGGATTGCATCCCCGTTTCGAAAAAACAATGGGCCCATTTGTCTTTGGCATACGCGACCTTGTAGTTGGGGTCGAGTGCTACACCAAAATGGTCAATATCATTTGAAGGCATTAAAATAAATATAAGACATACCAAGGCAAATAAAATACATGTCCATGTCATCGGTCTTACCGTACCACTTGCTGAGATTACTAATGCCAGCTTCAATGGCTGTCGAGAAGCGGCTGAATTTTGTCGAGTCAGCCATGTTCTGCAATGTCTCTTGAAGATACTCGAGCACCATAATAGTTCGCCATACAGTTGGCTCACGAGTTGCCAAGAAACTCTGCTGAGCATCTGCAGGTTCCTTGGTGTGCAGCATATGAGCATAATTACATGTAAAAGATAGAGGAAAATGACAAACCTGAAGGACTTCACGCATCAAGTCCAACTCCGTCCATTCTTGCGCTGAAAGCCTGAAATCGGCATATAATTTCCCCTTCAACTTCGGGACCTCGTTGCTGTCATCAGCGAGCTGAATGAACCGGTTCACTCCCTGATGAATCAGGTCTGAATCAGTGACATATTCATGTAGTTAGTAGCAGACGACTTACTTTGCGCCACTGAAAGACACGCTCCAACATATTGAACAGTGATGCCCAATGTGTGCGGACCCATCTCAACAGCTCCAATGGAGGCTCATTGACCTCTGCGCAACACTTTTGAAGAAAGACGCGAGCTTGAGGAGATTTCCGTACCTAAACACAGTCAGTATATAATAGTAGACAGATTAATTAAGAGCTTACCTGTGCAACGAATGTGAGTGCCTTGCCAACGGTGTCACTGACTTCAAACTCGACACTTTCCTCGTCTTCGTCTTCTTCCACCTCTGCTTGAGCTGCCTTCTTGTGCAATACACTTGCTGGTGTAGGAGCCACCTCCTTGACGAAGTGTTTTGCTGCTAAATGGAGTGCGTGCTCCATGCAACTGAAATACTTGTCAGTAATCTCAACAGGAAGTATCTAATAGACAGACTTACCGCACACGATGCTCAATTGGATTCCAATTCTCACCAGACGGGTCAATAGAGTCAGTGACAGTCTCGATGGCCATATCGTTGTTAGTGGCATTGTCAGCTGTAAACCACCCGAGCTTTGTGCGGATCCCATATTTGTCAATATTCTCAATTAGAATCTGGCTGATGTTTGCGCTGCTGTGATTGCCGTGAATGGGTGTGAATGCAAGCTGCTCGGTCTTGAGTTCCCATTCTTGAGGCTTGTCAGCTGGGGAATCTATATAATGCGCAGAAAGGCACAGGAAAGGGTGACCAGGCAAAGATGTCCACGAGTCGAATGTCATTGAGATTCTGCTATCAACAAGCTGGAGCTTCTCTTTCATGCGCTCAACCGCCAGAGTTGCGCGTTTGAGTATCTCGTCCCGAGTTTTTGTGCAGTGGGGGATATCTCAGTCTGAAAGTGATGGCCGGAGATACTGAAGAAGGCGGTGGAACTGGACCCTTGTCTACAAGTTGAAAGGCCTGCATGTATAAGTGTCTTAAAATTATATTAAGAATGAGAGTCGCTCACCTCATCCTCGGCAACAATCAGTTCAACGATGTAGTCCATAAGTCCAGATTTCGTGAATAGTGGTATCTTGGGAGGGAGAGATGCGTCCAAGGTTGCCTGACTGGTTGTAAAGGTCAATGAAAGGAGAAGAAAACAACAAGAAAAATAACATACGCCATATCAGTCATCTTGCAGTTTGGTGGTATTGCACATTCGTGCATCGCAAAACCACGTTGTTTGCAGCGGTCCCGATAAACTGGGAAGTGGCACTTGGGATTCCGTGCAATGTGCATGCGTCAAGTTGAGATACCGCCTTTAAAGAAGCACTGGTGTAGAACGACATTGTTGGCCTTGCACACCTCACACCACCACCTGTTTTCAAGCTCCTGGGTGTGGGGATTAAGACGGCCTTTCTCAAAAGTGAAGACTGTCGTTAAGTCAGCGCTGCACTCGTCCTTCTTGAGAGATCTGCGGACTTCGTGATCCTGGTCGCCAAGGTTCTTCATCCATTGGTAAGCCTCTTCTTTCTCAGCATTCTCAGCATCCTCTTCCTCATCATCCGTAACATCTTCGAGGGTGGGTGCATCTTCATTGTCGTCGTAGTTGTCCTCTTGGCTAACAAACACTCGTTTGGGTGCAGGGACACCTTGGGGAGGTTCTGGAGCTGACCGTTTGGCTGAGGTACTGCTGGCAACCAGAGTCTCACGTATCTTCTCTGTGGGTTTGACGGTACGACCAGAATGACGGACAAATGAGTTGAGAGTGCCGTTGTTGGCGAGAGCAGGGGGAGGAACCATTGGGGTATCGTCTTCAGCATCATTGTACCACTGAATTTCACTGGCGTCTTTCAATGAACCATTAGCGCGACATGCAGAAGACTCGGACATAGCAGCAGGAGGCATAAATGTCCCTAGGTACCACGTGAATATATTTAAAACTAGTTTTAAAACTGTTGTGCACCATGAACCACCAAAACGAGAACCAATGGCAGATGGCGAGTATGGTGAATCACAACAGTAGGTATGTTCTGAAATAAATTGCATTATAAGTTAATTGGGACAGACAGTAGAATTGTTGTGAACTCACTGGCACCTGAATGAGTTGCTGCATTACTGAAGTCGCCAAGAGATCACCTTGCCTACTAGAATGCAGGAGAAGTAGGAGAAGACAGTGAACAGAAGGGCAAGGACGATACTTAAACTTAAACAGAAGCCTCACCAAAAACATGAGGCTTCGACTTCGAAAAGTCAGCAGGTTCGAACCAGTCCGGATGTGTTCAGAACCAGTCCAGATTTATCGACACCACACCGAACCCCAAACCTACCAAGGGATTCGGTCCAACAGAAAGTCTGGACCTGTGACCGAACCATGGGTCTGGTCCACAAAGGTTCAGGTTCGAACCTAGGTTCTGGACCGAACTGCGGCAGCACTAATGTTGTCAATATAATATATCATTTTACTTTGATTGGAGTAAATGTGTGATATATCCCTGCCTTTGAACCAACACACAGGGCAATGATATATCACTGCATGCCCTGCACATTTGGGTGGGCTATTATTAGCATGTGCCTGGTCACAGTCCGATTTGGGTTTTGGGTACTTCGGTTTGGAAAATCAGGGATCTAGATCTCTAGATCTCCACTTGTCTCTGCATAGCCACACAACTTCCATGGCCAACCGGTTTTAGCTGAGACCCATGGCATTTATCCACTTAGTCAAATAATCACATGATGTCTGTCATCATGTTCATCATTGATTCATACTCTGCCTCAACTCTGCCCGCTGTAGGGATTCATTTCTGGTTGGGCTTGTAGAGACTGTTTTTACCTTACCTTATGTTGGCACTTTTGTAGCTTACATAATCAAGCAATCTTTTCACCAGTTACCAGTATGAGTCAGAGTCCTCAGTAGTTTTTATGATATTTCCTCTCCTCTGAGCCTTAAGCCTAGTCCAGAAACCCTTTAGGGTCGAATAGCAGCTAGGTTCTGCAAGACCCAACACATTGTTCAGACTCACCATCTGAATTGTTGTACCTTCACCGCCCTTTCCCACCCTGTTTTCATGTCCAGCTTTGGAAAGTTCTTGCTAGTAGTGGCAGCACCACAATGAATATAACAAAACATCACAGCCAACCCAGGCAGCATTTCTCAAGTGCAGTAGCTCACAGCTGCTCACTAGCCTGACTTGTAAGTTGTTCAATTTTTTTGCGTGCTGTTCAATGAGCCCCTTCAGTGACAAATTCCGTATTATACGGGCCACACGACCTCCATAATATCCCGTATGAGACGGGCCAGCTGATCATGGGCCCATGTTGTGTATATTCTCGATGATGACGGATGGGCCGGGACACATATTATTTCTGATGGAGACGGGTGGGCCCATGTATGCCAATGATATATATATCCTTAATGTTGACGGATGGGCCGGGG